GCGGTAACCTCCTGTACGCACGTCTTACTGTCCATGTTCCACAAGCGGATGGAACTATCATGACCTGAGTTAGATGAAGAAAAGACATTGAGTTCATTTTTAAAGGGATAGTTTTGTACAAAATTTAAATTCTGTCATTATTTCCAGATCTCTGTGACTTTCGTACTTCAGCAGATATATACATGTAATAAATGTATACATGCAATAAACGATAAATGAAGGGTAAAGAGCCGAAGGAAAAAAAAAAAAAAAACACTTACTTCCTGACATCAAGTAGATGCCATTTGGATCTATAGCCAGACTAGTAACAGCATCCAAGTGAGCCACCATTGCATGGATGGGTTGACCTACAAAAAAGACAGATGGAAGGTGATGAATAATCCCAGACATGAAACTTCAACAATCCTTACTTTTTTTTTTGTGACTTCTGGCAAAATATAACTGAACAAAAATGTCTCATGAACAAATAGTACCAATAAAACACTGATATATTTTCTTAGATTTTAAATAAATAACAAACAAAATGAGAATATGAAGTTACATAAGTTATGAATATATATGAATGAATATAATTCGTAATATTAACAATAAAATTCAGACACACAGTAGTCTTTTTTTAGTACTCCTATTTAGCAAGGATGCATTAAATTGATCAGAATTTATAATGTTCCACAAGATTTCTTTCTCAAATGAATGCTGTTCTCTTGAACTTTCTATTAATCAAAAAACGTATCACAGTTTATACAAAAATATTAAGCAGCATTTTTTTTAAACTGTGATAATAATACTTGAGCATCAAATCAGCATTTTAGAATAATTTTTGAGAGACACTAAAGACTGAAGTATCTTGTGAAAAATGACATTTAAAAAAATATTAGAACAGAAAACTGTTATTTTAAATTGTAATATTTCACAATATTACTGTTTTACCATATTTTTGATCACATAAATGTGAACATAAGACTTCTTTGAAAAACATTATAAAAATCGTACTGACACCAAACTTGTGAACAGTAGTGTATGAATATATAATATATTAATGATACAATAAAAAACCCACCTGATTTATTATCAAAGAATTTGATGTGTCTATCCTCGTGAGCGGTGACTGTGATTGGCAGGGTGGGGTGGGTGACTACTTTATTAATGAATATTTCACAATATTACTGTTTTACCATATTTTTGATCACATAAATGTGAACATAGACTTCTTTGAAAAACATTATAAAAATCGTACTGACACCAAACTTGTGAACAGTAGTGTATGAATATATAATATATTAATGATACAATAAAAAACCCACCTGATTTATTATCAAAGAATTTGATGTGTCTATCCTCGTGAGCGGTGACTGTGATTGGCAGGGTGGGGTGGGTGACTACTTTATTAATGTGATTCCCAAAAGGAATAGCTGCAACAACGCAGAAGAAAGTAAACATCACAAATCCAATTCTCACACCCCTGTAATTTAATTACTGAACTATATATAAACATTATATCACATTTCCACAAGGGCACTTTTTTAGAACAAATGTGAAGGACGTACTGCTCTCTCCCTGTGCAGACAATACCAAGACGGGCTGTGATGTCTCTAGATCATAAACAACGACATCTCCCGTGTTGTAGGATGCCACCATATGAGCTGGATCACACCCATTGAAATCAATTGATGTGGGAACACCATGATCTGAAAAACAGAAATTAGTTTGCCAACATGTCGATCGATTACAGAATACTGCATACAAGATACTTCACACTCACCTCTATCTGAGTTAAACGTGCTGAGACACGGTGACTTCTCCTGAGGGTTCCACAGCTTGATCGTCCCATCAGCTGAACAGGAGAGCAGCCGGGTTTTGATTCCACTGTAAGCCAATCCCCACACTGCGTCACTGTGACCCAACAACGTACCAGCCAACACGCTGGGATCTGAGTGAAAGAGAGGACACACATAGAGAAGATACTATTGATCAGGCAGGTTTCCTACTTTTAAGTTCTATCAAAATGACAAAATGTAACAGTCATATAGATTTGATCTTCTCACCATATGTGTCGTAAGGGTCTACATTAGAGCTGGGGATGTTCCACCACTGTATTGTTGAATCAATTCCACCACTAAAACACTGCTCGCCACTCGAGGTCATAGCCAATGAGAGCACAGGCCCACTGCAGCAACAGAACAAACAATATTAGTGTCCGCATGTCTGAATTGGTGGATTTGGTAGATTACATTATTGTTGGCCCTAAAAAGTGCTTGGCGACACAAAGTGTTATGAATGTAAATGCATTAGGTAAGAAAATATCAAATCAATTTATATGCAGTTATAACATTAAACTATTTTTAAGAACGATAGCACATAGTTCTCATTTTAAGCAAAACGTTTGTTTTTTCTTTCTTTAAAATAGTCCTCAAGTACTATTTTTAAGCAAAATGTTTCAAGTTTAAAGTGTTATGAGTTCAATACAATAAACGTCACTGCTCAAACACTTAGTGGTTGTCAAATGTTAGTGGAACATGTTTAATATGTGATAAAAATGTGATGAACTACAGTGAGTCGCCTGAGTGAATGAAATGAACTGACTTCTCACACCAACTAAAACTCACCTTGAGACCAGTTAGCTAAAAGCATGAGCAAAACAACTAATTCTGAGAAAAGCAATATTGTGTGTCTAATGCAACGATTCTCGAACACTTAAATGTTTCTCAAGAGTCCAAATACTTCCTGGGGGCCATGTGGGTGCATTATTTGTACACAGTCACACAATCTTATAGTCAAACAGTGCCAGTAGAACACTTGATACACTTTTGGATTCGTTAACTTCTTGCCCTGATCTGCTATGTGTGATGTAGAGCAACAACAGTGAAACTGTAGACAACACATGCTCACAGGACAGGACCGAGATCTCAGTGTAAATATCATGTGCCCTCATTTAAAACACTCTCTATGCAGTTCCAAAAGCAATGACTGAAAATATGCTTGTCAAGAGCTTCATGACATGGGTTTAAAGCGGCACTCAATCTTTTCTGCCAATGAAAAAAAAGTTTAACACTAAAGAAATAAACAACACTTTTGAGCAAAATGATTTATACTGACATGAAGATATTTGAGTCTTCGAGAAAAATTTATTTTATTCTTCAAAAGTAGTTTTCAATCAGGGGGCCATGGCAAGCTTCCAAGGGGGCCTTAAGATGACTTGAAATTATTTAAAATAAGACAAAACTAGTATTAAACTAAAACGACTATTACAAATATTACACTAAAACAACAAAAAAATCAAGGTATTTCTTATTTTAAATCTCACAGTCTTGAAAAATCTTGATATATGTGGAAGGTTATTTTTAAAAGTAGGCATTTTTTTAACATACTTTTTATGCCAAGCTCTAAAATAATTTGAGTAGAAACTGTAAAAATAAAAACATGGTAAAAATTTGTCAAACATATTTAAATCCTTATGCAGTAAATCAAAAACTGGGAAAGCAATAGGGCTAAAAATAGTTGTGGACAATGGAGGAGTCAAAATGATTGAGAACCACTGTTCTACAATGAGCAGGTCGCCCCCTTATGGACAGAATCAGGTCGACGTCACATGACCAGCCCTGTCATGTAATTGACCAGCTACATTACTAACCATAATAATCAAGACATATGCTGGGACTTCAAGCACTCAATCAACAGCTAGACTGTTTATAGTGTAATGCAGAAGCCAACTGCTTTCCACCAACAACATAGCAAAATAAAGCTCTGGCAAGAAATCTCAGAAATTAATACACTTAAAGCATCTGGACCAGTATGTGTCAGTATAGAGCACAGGTGTCAAACTCAGTTCCTGGAGGGCCACAGCCCTGCAGAGTTCAGCCAAAGCCACTAGAAGGCAAGCCTGCAACCTTTAGTCAAAAAAGCATAGCGGCTAATGCTAACTCTTCCGCTTTGGCAGTACATGGGAAAGAAGTCAAGAGGCCATTTTTTGAATGTATGTTAATGGAGGAGAGGCTTCACTACGCTGAATAAACAGCTTTTTTGAGGAAACAGCTTATCATGTAATGAATCGACAGCCTATCAGCTAATCTTCAACAGGTTTTACACTAAGCAATACTTTTGGATTTAACTAATTTTACAGTTTTCACCCAAAAAAAATGCTGTTTTGTAAGAAAAGTCACTGACTTTTTGCAACAGGTGAAACGGCGTAAACGGCGACTGAGTGTTGCACAACTCTGACTAAAATTCAATGACGTCAAGGCTATAATGTGATTGGTTATTAAGGCACACGTGATCCAAGTTGACCGTTACGCTTTCTCCAATAGTAAGTAATACAGACCCTCTCATCTCCCTATAGTAAGACAATCTCTGGTTTAGCTTCAACCCTCATTAAACACACCTAATAGCTAATCAAGTCCTTCAGGCTTATTTGAAAACTACATGGTATGTGTGTGGGAACTAAACTCTGCTGGGCTGTGGCCCTCCAGGAAGTGAGTTTGACACCCCTGGCATAAAGTATTAGCGCACTGGGATGAATAAGGGCAAACAAAAAAATGTAGTGAATGCATCTTTAAACAGCTAACATCACCATGCACATGTTGGCTGGTGTGTTGTGGATTCTGGGACAGTGGGAACACAATCTCTGCATGTAACCATCTCATGCACTGGCCTTCCAGAGGCCAGGAGAACACTACCTTTCTGAACACATACAGCTGTGGCAATGCCAACATGTACAGAATCATCCATACCTTCACAACACTCTATTTAACACATTTAGGATAAACTGGAATGTTTTGAAACAAATCAAAAAGCAAAAAAAGTGTATAAAAGATCCATATTATGAAATTAATACTCACATATGCCCTCTAAACGTGTATATGGGCTCCACATCAAAAGAGGCACTTCTGCAAAGCAAGATAAAACTTTGTTTAGTGGTTTGTTTGGAACATTAATGTTGCATGATAAAATCATTGTGCTTCTTGAGACATCATTTTGAAGACCAAAGCCGATCCCAAGACACCCCTTTCCCTGGAAAGCCACAGCGAGAACTTACTTTTTGGCTGGAACCGTCTTCTGGAGGTTCCACAGTTTGAGGGTGTGGTCTTCCGAGACTGTGACCAACACCGGTTCCACAGGATGGAAGGCCAGGGCCCGCACTCCATCAAAGTGGCTTCGCAGGGTATATTTGGGATTCCATGTCTTCCTGAACGCGTCCTTATTGGCTGGCAGCTAAAAATAGAGGGTGGGGGGAGGGGTCGTTGTAGAGGCATTTTAACAACTGTGAAATGAAACCTGGAAATTGCAGGTCGACTGACCACACCGGCTTGGACAACTTCGGTCCTCTGTAACCTTTATACAGAATGAAGCTAATATAGTACATGACATTTGAGTAAACAGTACCGGCTGTTTTTATAACTGTTAACTGATGGTTAACAAAATGTAGACTGTATTTAAAAATTGAGCAGGGAACAGACCTTTTTTTTTTTTAATTGGAGTCTATTATTTATTAATGCCAGAATAGAGTATTAATAACCTCTACTTTTGATTCTAAAAACGGAGGTAATCAATTTAGTTTCTGATAACTGAGGTAGAAAAATCTATTTGAACAAGCAATTATATATATATATATATATATAATGTTACTGCAACATATTATATTAGTTAGAAATATTTATACTTTCCAATAAATGTTTCATTAAATAAAATTTGTAGTTTCATTAAGTAAATTTTTTTTTTTTTTACAAATTGTTTTGTATTATGCATTTTGTAAAAGGCATTACTTTATTATATAATAGTATTATGTTAATTCATATAGTTTTATCTTTAAAAACAATTTTTAACCGTTTCATAGAACCATACACTGTGCAACCCTTATAGATACAGTGATAAGAAAATATGCAGAGCGCTTATGGTAATAAATGTCTTGATTTAAGGGTGACACACACTTCACACATATATATGCCACTTTACCAAAAATACATGTCCTATATATGGTGACATCTACATAATCCTTAGTTTAGAAGTGGGTCAAAACAGACAGAAGAGAGTAAGACAAAAAGAGTCAGAGATAAAGAAAGCAGAAGTCAGGGTGTGGGATGCAATGGAGCTGATGTGTTTGACCCAGCTGGCTCTGGTCGGAGCAGTAAGAGAATCTCCTGTGCTGGAAGCTGTCAGGAATGCTGATGCAGCAACTGGCCTAATTAAGATTCTACCGCAGGGCCAGCGTGTGCCACAAAGCACTGACTGAAAGTAGACGGTGATTTTTATTAACAAAATACCACTAATAAACACAGAATTCCTAGTATTCTGGACCTAGCTTTGACTTAATCAATTATTCATTATTGATGCACGTCTACTATGCATGTCTAGACACACTACGATTAAAACGTTTGGGGTCACTAAGATTTTATTCAGCAAGGACACATCGAATTGATCAAAAGCGACAGTGAATTCATTTGTTACAAATGATTTCTATTTCAAATAAATGCTGTTCTTTTGAACTTTCTATTAAATCTTCCATTTTGAACTTTTTTATCAAAGAAACAAAGTAAAATGATTACTGTTTCCATAAACATATTGACCAGCACAACTGTTCAACATTAATAATAATAATAACTGTTCAACATTAATAATAATAATAAATTATTTATAGATTCTACCGCAGGGCCAGCGTGTGCCACAAAGCACTGACTGAAAGTAGACGGTGATTTTTATTAACAAAATACCACTAATAAACACAGAATTCCTAGTATTCTGGACCTAGCTTTGACTTAATCAATTATTCATTATTGATGCACGTCTACTATGCATGTCTAGACACACTACGATTAAAACGTTTGGGGTCACTAAGATTTTATTCAGCAAGGACACATCGAATTGATCAAAAGCGACAGTGAATTCATTTGTTACAAATGATTTCTATTTCAAATAAATGCTGTTCTTTTGAACTTTCTATTAAATTTTCCATTTTGAACTTTTTTATCAAAGAAACAAAGTAAAATTATTACTGTTTCCATAAACATATTGACCAGCACAACTGTTCAACATTAATAATAATAACTGTTCAACATTAATAATAATAATAAATTATTTATGGTTGCTAAATTTTAATTTAAAATTTAAAATTAAACAATATATTTCATAGTAATATTTTTACTGTTTTCTTCAAATAAATGCAGCTTTGATGAACATAAGAGTACAAAATCCAGACCCCCCCCCCCCCCCCCCCTCTACATG